GTAGCACAAGCCTGGGGTTTGTCTCGACGCGTCGCGTTGAGCGCCTGCTATTTACACGCGCGGGCGCGCGTGCTTCGAGACCGTGGAAAGCGATCACGTGATGATGATGGTGGTATTCTAGCGCCTCGAAGTCTCGAGTCTTGAGTCGATGTGGCGTACAGTCATCGTGAGTGGTCTATGTACATATGCAGGTGGAGGTTTGCCTGCGAAACATGCACGCCGTGCACGCGATGCTTGGACCGTGAATCACGAATGAGCTAAGCAAGCGGAGGGGACAAGTTGTGCTGCGTACCCGTACCCGTCCTTGCACGACGATTTGATTCACGATTGTGATTGTGATTCAAGATTGACATGCGCCACATTCCTCTTCATTCGTGACTCAGTCTGCGCGTCGACCCATTTGCAGCCCACAGCTGTCGCTTCTCGGCTCTACGCTAAGGCATCCACGGCCATCACCTCAATCGAACCACGTTGTGGGACCAAGTATGCCCACTGAGCAAACGGCCAGGCGCTAGTCGTGAGAAGATGTTGTCTGTTCGAAGGCCCGTTAGCGGAAAGGTCTGCGGGGCGCCCAGCTCCATGGTCATGTCATCTCGACCTCTCATCTGCGTCGAGACCTTTCTTCAGTCGTGGAAGATCAAAGCAAGATTCGTTTCTGAGCCAAGTCGCAGCTTTCACGCTACACCCCATAGCTCGTATCGGCTCGCAGATGGTCAACGTCAGCAAACACACCGCCTCGCTCCGACGTTTCAAGTCAGATGGATCTCCTCCCCTTCAGCCTACACAGGTACACGTCCAGGAGAGTCATACGCGCCGAGCGAACGTGAGCGTCGTGCGCCTGCGATGGAGGACACAAGTCAAGATACAGCACACTCGGCACGAACGAGCACGACGGAGCTGAGCAGTACGGATCCTTTGGATGTCTATCTTTCATTGGTGGAAAGGGGACTCGTCAGAAAGGACGACGAGCAGATCAGAGTGATGGTCAAAGTCAGTGCGCAGATTCGGACGGTTCGTACCCTGCATGAAAGCTGAAGCGTCAAAGTCTCTTGCGAACCTCTTGCTTTCCCAACGCAAGCTACGAGACCTCACGCGTAGACTGCAGGACTACACCCCTCCAGCTCATCTGCTCTCACGTCTCTCTACCGCTTGC